GTCTTTATTGATGATATTTTGGTGTACTCTAAGAATGTGAAAGATCACGAGAAGCATTTGAAAATTGTTTTACAAACCTTGAGGGAACACCAATTGTATGCTAAGTTTAGAAAGTGTGAGTTTTGGTTAAAAGAAATGACTTTCTTGGGACACATAATTTCTAAGGATGGAATTAAAGTAGATCTAAGTAAAGTTGAAGCTGTTTCAAAGTGGAAACGACCGGAAAACCCTATAGAGGTTTGAAGTTTTATAGGACTAGCAGGGTATTACCCGAGATTTATCCAGGATTTTTCTAGGATTGCTGGACCCATGACTGAGTTGACCAAGAAAAGTGGGAAGTTTATTTGGAATTCCAAGTGTGAAGAGAGTTTCCAAGAGTTGAAAAGACGTTTGACAAGAGCGCCTGTTTTAGCTTTACCAAATGGAAAAGATAGTTTTGTGGTCTACACAGATGCTTCTAAGGAAGGATTAGGATGTGTTTTAATGCAAAATGGTAGAGTGATAGCATATGCATCTAGGAAGTTGAAACCACACGAAGGAAATTACCCGACTCATGATTTGGAGTTAGCGGCTGTGGTGTTTGCTTTGAAGAAATGGAGACATTATCTGTATGGAGTGATGTTTGAGGTGATCACAAAAGTCTTAAGTATTTACTTTTTCAAAAGGAGTCGAATCTGAGGCAACGTAGATGAATGGAATTTTTAGAAGATTATGATTGCACGATAAAGTACCATCCAAGAAAGGCCAATGTAGTGGTCGATGCTCTAAGTCGTCAAGTGCAAGTGGCTGGGTTGATGATTAAGGAATTACACTTGTTAAAGGAAATTAGTTATTGGAATCCTAGACCTAAACCAAGAAAAGTAATTATGGGGAATATTGTAGTGAATTCCACTCTATTGGAGCGTATCAAGGAATCTCAGGAAAAGGACGCTGAAGTGCAAAAGTGGTTGGAAAATGTCAAAAAGGGAGAAAAGTCAGATTTTAATTTGGGATCAAATGGTATATTATAATTTCGGAATTAGATAGTAGTGCCAAAAGACAAAGGGCTTAAAAAGGAAATTTTAGAAGAGGCACATCGATCGAAGTTTATGGTACACCCTAGAGGGAATAAAATGTACCAAAACTTGAAGACTTTGTATTGGTGGGAGAGCATGAAGACGGTGTGACGCCCCTACTTCTCCCAAGAGCGAATCCAAAGGTATCGGTGGGATACCTGCCTAACTCGCGCTAGGACTCAAACACAAAGCAATAAAACTAAATAAACCAAAAGCATACTATTCACAATATATACAACCCCAAAAGAGTTCTATTTACTTCCTCAAAAGGAGTTATCTAGACTACTACATTATCCTATGCTAGTATACAAAAGTAGAAAGTAGACCCAAAGGGGGGTCCTTATACAGATCACAAAAACATAAAGGAACATCTTAGTTATTCGGCAATTACAAACCAAGCCTAACTATTCTAGGGATAGTGCCAAAAGTTTTCCCCGCGACGGCCCTTGTTAAGGAAAACAAAGGAAAAGGAGTAAGCTATATGCTTAGTAAGTAAACAGGGGTAAAAACATAAATTTCACATTAAGACGAACAAGTACGTCACAAGGATGTCAAATCACAAGTGTAAAATTAACAACACAGTTAAGGATACAGGTTGGCTCCAAAGCCAAGTCGTTTGCCATGTGTGACCTCCTGCCGACACTCCGTCGACCACATATAAGGATCCTAGAACTCCACTTGTACTCCCATAGTACACCTTATCACCCTCACTGGCCAGTCACCTCACAAAATGGCTCGAGCAAACGAAACGAAATTGAACTTGATTCACAAGCTCGGTTTACAAACTTGGTTCACAGAACCACAAACTTGGTGACCTTAAGACTAGGTTGGACTGGCTTCGACCAAGCCCCCGCTAGCTCAAATAGTTCGTCTAGGTCTTGAGATCGGGCCCCATGAAAGTCACCTCGAACTACAAGCTCAAGGAGTTCAACACCAAAATAATTCATATATATATACACATCTCATAAAAAGCACAGGTGCAAATTAGGGTTTAGGTTGAGTGTGATCAAGTACACCCTCGCCTAAATACCCTCTCATCCACAACAAAGCACGTAAGCAAGTTACACACAAAAACAGCTTAAATACTTACACAAAGAGCAAGTATAACACAAGTGTGAAGATCACATCACGTATAGTAGCTACTAGGCCCCACCGGTACCGTCTAGCCCGTCACCGTTTGAAATAAAAGATTGTACCACATTACAACACAAATGACTACAAAAATGCCTAAATAAAGCGAAACGGCAAAACGGACACACACGCGCGCGGAAATGGTGAACGGAAGCGGAAACAGCCGGCAAACGGAAATGGGTAGATTTGCCGTCCCAAACTGTTTTGACTACAAGTTAGACTAGGAATGTCAGATTAAAGTCTATGAGACACCGTTTTGAAGCCAAGAAAATGAGTTACAACTTTTATGAGGCCCTGTAGTCTAGATCGCAACAGAACTAGGGCAAAATTGCACAAAACAGCCCCAGCCGTTTCAATTCAGGTTACCGAACAGGCCCTGTTTGAATGACCATAACTCATGACTCAGAAATCAGAATTAAGAAATTCTAGAGGCTCTGGAAAGCTCATTTACAAGGCTATAACTTTTATGTTTTGACCAGAAGCTGAATCGGTATAGAACATAGGGAAAAAGCCCAAAGTTCGTGCTCAGAACTGGCCGGCCTTAACGGCAGTTCTGACACCTTACATTGTTTTGGGCATAACTGGAGCTAAGGAACTCAGATTTGGATGCGTTTTATACCATTTCGACGGTGAAACAAAGATCTACAAGTCTTATGAAGATCTAAACACCCAGTTCATACGTTATCAAGGTGAACTGAGCACGGTCAGAAGCAAAAACTACAATCATCACAAAATTCAACATTTTGCAGAGCTATCAGTGTTTTGATCGTAACTCAGGCTACACTGGGCTGAAATTTTGCAGGCACAACCAGCATTTAAGAAGCTACAACTTTCATTTTTTGGGCAAACCCTGAATCAGTACGTAGCACAAAAAAAAAACGTAGCCAAATTTCAAATTCTGGACTGCCTTGTTTTCCAGTTTAACCAGTTTCGCACGTTGCAAACGCATGGTCCATTACTATGGTTTTCATGCAAGCTTCCTAACCAATTGCACACATATACTAACTTCTAAATAACCTACAAATGGTCCGAAACTTTCCTTCTAAGTCATCATAAAATTACCAAACACTAACCATAATCCCTAACCTCACTTCGTTTGCACCAATGAACTTGATCTAACAACCTAGTAGCCAAACTCTAACCAACTAAACTCTAACCAAGCTAAACCAACTTAATGGAGCCTAGGGTTTCATGGCCCAAATCAGATTTTGCCAACAACCAACCCATCAAATAAAACCAACCATCCATCACACCGTATGCAAGCTATATCAACAAGAACAACTTACTAATCAACATTTAAGCATGAAACCATAATTATCCATCATGATGGCCAAATCTTCTATCAAAATAAACCATAAAATTCCTTCACGAGCATCTCATAAGCAACAATACATTAAAACAATTCTAACTTTATCAAGTTTCAAGTGAGATTCTTACATTCTAGTTGCAAGTTTCTTAGGTTGATCTTCCAAAACTCAAGCTCCAAGTTGTTCCTCCAAGATCCAAACGCAAGATTAATGGAAAAAAAATGCTAGAAACAAAAGCTTTTCTCTCCCTTTCCTTCACTCCCTCTCGGCTCTCCCTCTCTCTCTCTCTCGGCCCTCCCTTTCTCTTTTCTCTAAGTTTTTGGTTTGTGTTTTGTGTCTTTGCTTGTGTTTGTGGTTTATAATTTGCAAGACTTAAGATGGGTAGGATATTTGTTTCACTAGCCAATCATAATCAAGCACAATCATGGCTTAATGTCCACCACAAGCTTCTTTGCTCCTTTCATACTCTTGCCCCAAATCATTTAATTCTTTGCAAATTAGTCCATAGGTCATTAACTTAATCTAATCCAAAATACATAATCGTACTTAGTTCCTTCACTAATCATCCTCCTATAGTAATTACCTATACTTAGTCATACCTTAACTCACATAAAAGCACCTAAACAACAATATTTTTGTCGTAGGCAAAATTAGGGTTTTAAACCCAACTTAGGGTTTCCAATGGATTATAACACTAGAGGTTTTGCTAGTTTAGAATTTTCTAACCTTTTAAAACCTACTTATCCTTTGTAAAACAATTCAAATCCTATACTTACCTACTCCAACACACACTAAAATAACTACCTTTAACTACAACTCGAACTTATGATTAAATTAGGGTTTTCTAATTAGCCCTAAAACCCAATTTTACCGCACAAATCATTCACCTCACCTATTATCAAACGTAAGGACTAATCGGGGTCTCATAACCTCCCCCCCTTAGAACAATTTCGTCCTCGAAATTAATTCCTTTGTTTGTGAACCATAAACTGTAGGGTTTATAAAAGAGTGCGGGGCATCAGTGTCTATTAAACACTTGCGGTACGCCGAAAAAAGAGAGCGTACCTTCGATGACTGCCGAAGGGTCAGTCACCTCTTGTTGACCCATTGTATATACTCTAGCTGGTACTTTGGGTCGATTCCCCCCTGTATTTGTCGGCTTAGCTGTGGTCCCTTCTGCCTAAGGGACATGTCTGTCTTTCTGCATCTTTGGGCATTGAGCGATCAAATGTTCTGTACTACCACATTTAAAGCATTTACGTACCGAACTATTCTTTCAACAATTATCATCGGTGTGATTGCCCCCGCAGAAACCACAGGTTTGCCTAAATCACGCACTTCACCCTCCACGCTGGGTACCCCTCTTGGGCCCTTGCCCTACCTGACCTCTCCCAAAGTTGCCCTGGTTTGGGGTCCCTACGGGTCTTGGGACATCTGTTCCTCGACCCATTTTAGAGGGTGGCTCGTTTCTCAAGCTTTGCCCGATCGCAAGGTCGCTTGAGCTAGTTTACCTCCTTTTCTGATTATGAAAGGCTTTTACTTGTCCCCTGGCAGCCTCAATTCTCTGAGCCTTTTCTAGTGCTTGGCTAAATGTGTTTAACTGAGCAGCTGCTAGTGCCTCTTGAATCTCCACGTTTAAGCCTTGAATGAAACGACGGATTTGCTTTTGCTCTGTTAGTACAAAATCCGGAGCGAAGCGAGAGAGTTTTGTAAATTGGATTTCATATTCTGCCACACTGGATGCCCCTTGGCGCAGGCGGATAAAGTCATCCTCATGTCTCTCTTGCACAATGGGAGGTAAATATTTCTCATTAAATTTTCGAGTAAAGTTAACCCGCGTCCAAAGGGTTTGTTCCCGCTCCCACTTAGCCTTGATCACATTCCACCAAGCTCGGGCGGCCCCCTTAAATTGAAAAATAGCAAAAGATATCTGCCGCTCCTTCAAATACCTGAGCGCAGCAAATATATCCAACATGCGGTCCAGCCAACCCTCCGCTAAGTCAGGGTTGGATCCACCTATAAATTTCGGAGGTGCAAACTTTTGGAATCGTTCTAAAGCACGGTCCTCTCCCTCCTGATTACCCACATTATTTCCAGGGTTTCCGGCATTACCTCCCGGGCCTTGAGCCTGTTGGTTAACCATTCGTTCTAGTAGGTGGTTGTAGCCACCTGATCTGGCTCGTTCTCATTTTCTCCTTTGGGGCCTTTTCCTCGCCCTCTACCTCTACCTCGATCAAGTCTATAAATCGAAATATAACATGTACTTATTATTCAAACTATGAACAAAATAAAGAACACAAAGCATATACACAAAAGACACGCAAAAGATAAGTTCAAAAGATTATACTCAAATATATACTTATATGTACAAAATCACAACAAAAGATATATACAAGTTATCCGACATCCGGTCGGTACAAAACCCTTATTTACATGAGCACTCCAGCTCCAAAAATGTAGTCAACCACGAGATAACAAAAGAAACTAGGCAGACTGGTTATAACAAAAACAAACATGTCAGATAGTCAAAAGGAAATCCCAACAATGGCCCTACGCGCCTCCCCTAGGGCCCCAATTCCCAACGGTGTGACAACCCCACCTCCCCCTAAGGCGAACCAAAGGGTTCGTCGGATCGCCTGCCCAGCTCTCGCCGGAATTCAGTCATACCTCAATCAAAACTGGAATACAACCACAAGAAAGAAACATCAAAACTTAACGCAAAACTTATATACATTTCTATCCCAAAAGGGAGGACAAACATCGAATATACAAAGGTTCTCAATTCACCACACATCCAGCCCGTGCCAAGCACTAGGGCGAGAACCATTACAAAATCAAAGAACTAGACTAGGCTAGTCTATACAGAGCTCTCATCCTGCTCGCCGTCCCCTGTTAAGGAAAACAAAACTAAAGGAATGAGCTAAAAGCTCAGTGAGGTTCCGAACACATAATCAAACAATCAATCCAATACATTAATCATAGAATATCAATAGTTCAAGAAACATTTAGAATGGAAAGCGATAATAACACATTCATTAAAAGGATACGGGCTCACAAGGAGCCATTCGTTCGTTCGTTCGTTCATTCTCCTGTCATTCCCCTTATTCCTCCAATTATTTGAAAATGCATTTGATAAGTAAAACCCTTCATTTCATTCATTGCCACTCGTTCATTCATTTCATTTCACCCCCTTCCGGACGTTAGCCTGACTCCACCCGACAACAAGGTAATACTTGAGTATACCAAACGTTCACCCTGGGTCACTAAATCGCCCGACCGAGTCTGCTTCTGGCTCGAGTCGATCAGTAATGAAGGGCAGGGCCCAGTTCAGCCAATGGCTTACATTCATGTACATATAATCATTCAATCATTGAAAATTTCACATTCATTTAGGTCGAGTACGATAAAGTACACACTCGCCTAGAAAACTCGTTTTTAGCAATCATTGAAAGCATTTAACATGCAAACATTCAATCAAATATCCATAACATGGAACAAGGCATACAGTCAAGGGTAACATAACAACAAGAAGCACTCACCTATTTAAGCAAAATAATGTCCAAAGTTTCCTTCCGGATAATACTCTCAATCACCAAGGAACCCTAATAATCAAACGAACACATTATGCTTCAACCATCAAAGATATAAGTGAGTCAAAGACAAGTCGAATACGTACTAGTACAAAGTATAAATATGGTTTTGGTAGTGAAAATAGTACATTGAAACCAAAGGACATAAGTAAAATATTTGTAAAACTTAGACTCACTTGTAAAACTTTAAAATCGCTATTTGAGTCGAAGTGGCAAAGAAAACGTAAATACCCTAGATGGTTCACGTGGTATTCGCTCTCAAGCCTTACTCAAGTCGCAAGTATATCGACCTAGTTCTCGAGCGTAAATTTGGGCAGCACGCCCTTTGTATTTACCTATTTTTCAGCCATTTATGGCTTCATTCTTTTCCTCAATCCAAACCAAAGTCATATACAAAATCATCTCATTTCAATAGCCATTCCATAGGCTCCAAGTTATACAAGTACAAAATCAAGCTAGGAGCATGTGCGGAAGTGAAGGTTGAGTCAAGAAACAAAAGACAGATTTGACGTTGTTTTGCATAACGGACACAACTGAAGCTATGCTTATCGGATTGGGGTGAAATTTATACCGTTTCGAAGCTAAGACAAAGGGCTACAACTTTGATGAAGACTACTCAGTCCAATTTGTAGTGTATCTAGGTCAAAATATGAAATTACGAAACCAGAATTGCACAAATAGGTCAGTTAACCGCGCTATGTTTAAATGACAATAAATCAGGCTACCGAAGTCCAATCGAGGTGATTCTAGGGGCGTTGGAAAGCTAAGACATATTACTACAACTTTATGTTTTGGCCAAAGGCTGATTCAGTACATATCAGGGTGAACAGACACGGTTAGTGTTGTGAAATATCAAAATTGTGAGGACTCGTAAAAATTATTATTTTTCGACTCCTATTTTTGCTCATTTAATTACTTATTTGAATATTTGCTCCGATTATTATTTTCTAACCTTATTAGACTTAAATACATGGAATTATGGATTCATTATATTTTTAAAATGACTCGTATCAAAAATTAATTTTTAGAAGCGATTAATGAAAATAGTGAAAACGTGTTTGAAAATTTTAGCCAATTGGGAGTATAATAAGCTCGAAAATTTGGAGACATGTACAATGGTCCTAAAATAGGTAATTTTAGATTTAAGTACTCAAGTGATAGTTAGTGGTACGATCGTTATAAGAATTTCTCGAAGGTTTCACTTTATCGCGTCTAAATTGGAAATACGTGATTTCACGCCCGCGATTAATTGATGGACTTTAGACCATTATTTTGGAACAATTAAGAGTGAATAATATTCATATGAATATAAGTGTATTGGAGATTTAGTATGTGACGCTCCGAAAAAAAAATGAGTTTGAGAACCCGGAAATTTTCTAAATTTCTAGGGTTTATGTTATTTCATCGCCCGCCTTTTCTACATTTTCTTTATTAGAAAAATTTCGCACATAAAGTTTATGAGCAAAAATAGTTTTAAAATGATTTTTCTAGTATCGGTTAGTTTTTGAGAAATTAAGAGCGTATTTTGCACGTGGGACCCGCTAGTGCGGTAAATGCATTATATTTTTGACAACTTGTAGGAATTTTGTATTGAGTGATATTATTTTACAAAGTGTTAAGATATTTGTATTGGAGAGACAAAAAGATAAGTTTTACACCTAAAGGTGACAAGTGTCACTATCCTATTCACTCTTGGACTTTTGACCATCTTACCTTAACTTTACTAAAACCAAAATTTGACCAAAAATCAAGCCATTTCTTCCTTCTCATGGCTGAAACTTGGAGAGCAAGAGAGAGAGAAAACCTTCATCTTTCACTCCAATTTCTTACTTCAATCTTGAGTTTTAACCGATGGAATTGCAAATCACTCCATAAAAGTTGGTTACTAAGGAGATTCCAAGGTCTTGGTGGAGTTATTTTGGAGAAGGAACCACTAAGCTACTATCTTTTGTGAGGTATCAAGGTATGGTGTGTAAAGATTCATTGTTTGTTTCCAATAATGGTGAATTAGTAACTTGTGATGGCTAAAGAGATGGTTTTATGGATTATATCTTGATTTTGGTTGAATTGGTGAAGTTTTATAATTATTGGGGATTTTTCTGTTTTCATATGGATATGATTATGGGGTCATGTATGATGATTGTAAATGATGTTTAATGACTCTAGGAGGTGGAAAAAGTGATTAATTGGAACCAATTTCTGTTTTGGACCAAAAATTGAAAAGTGAGGGTTTTGTGATGAACATTCTGTCCGAATTTTTAGGTCCAAGATAGAGGCTGAATTGGCCTTTTCTTAAAACATGAAAGTTGTAGGGAATGACATTTTAGAGGTGCCTACAAAATTTCAGGTCAATCGGAGTAGCATAGAGTGAGAAAAGTCGAAATTACTATTGCTGTTCTGGTTTACCCGAAATTGGGATTTGCGACTGTAATTGGTTGTTTTGGCTGGAATTGCTTCCGAATTGGATGTTGAGGCCTTCTGATGAATTTTAGCCCTGTTTCTTAGCTTTCATCTGGTTTTGGAATTTCTGGATTTGGACTTGGAGAGCCTGAGTTATGATGTTTCCGCTAGAATGCGTTCTGTGAATCTATTTTTGTGATTCTGGTGTAGTATCTTGCATTTTTGACCTGGTTACACTCGAAACTGGGTTGAGTGACCTTCTTCAATATTGTAGCCCTATCTCTTAGCTTCGAAACGGTGTATCTTGTACCTTCATCCGACAATTGTAGTGCCTTTGGTACCATTACCGTAAAATGACGTCAAAACTGTTTTTCTGGTTTTGAGCTTAACTTTCATTTCTGGACTTTTCCCTAGCTTGACTTGTCTTTGTACTACTTGGAGCTTGCTGAATGACTATTGGATGAACTTGTTGTTGGATGACTATTGGATGACTACTTTCATGCTTAATTTTGAGTTAAATTGAGTGATTTGTGATCAAAATACGAAACCTGCCCTATTCTTGAAAACCCTAAATTTTGGGCAAAATTGATGCTAGACTTGGTGTGGACTTGCCAATTGAATTTCTTGGAGTTAAAACACTTACCAAATGTACCATGAATGTTCCTCAGGTTTTTCCTACACAAATAAACCATGTTTGAGGGATTTTCCTTGACCAAATGTTTGGATTGGAACACCAAGAAGCTCAAGGCAGTTCTGCCTTAGGATTTTCGAAACTTTGGTTGTTTGGTTGACTACCTTCCCGAAGGTATTTTTCCATAAAATTTGATAGAGGGATACCTTTTATATAGGAGTATTATACTACCGAGTTTGGTACCAATCCAAGTCCATTTCACTGCTTGACTAAATTACCAAAGTTCAAGACTTGATATTGGAAAACCCTTGTTTAACAAGGAAATTTGGGTAACTTTGAGCTACCATATCTTGGTGCTCACAACTCCGTTTCTTATTCCGCTTATTTTGTTGTAAACTTGGATTACAACACTAATAGAGTTGCAAATTTCAGAGACTAGTTCAAATCGAGTGAATTTTGTCGAATTTCCAAATTTGGCCAAAAACCAACTTGAACCTACCTTGATAACGCAAGTTATCATTT